CACCCCCGGCGAACCCGACACACCTGTGCAGGGGTTATCTTAGACTGAGCTCTGCAGATAGACTGTAGGGGGCCATGTGTCCACCACGCACGACTACATCCGGCAGTTAATCAGGACAACGAGTAGCTTAAAACTCCCTCTTTTAAAAAAAAAAAAACAACCCTGCGAACGGAGGAAGAGGTCTTGTTTGTTAGACTAGGTTTGACTGTTTTAGTTTGGACATCTGTTTTCTTTTTAATCGCCTGTATTTTAGCTTCAGACGTGTTTAACCCCCCCCACCAGTCTTAGAGATTTTTAGTTCAACTACAGTGAACACTGTGGGCTGATTTCCAGTCTTAAGTCTTGCTCTGTCACCGTCGGCCATCGACTAGACGTGCTCAAATAGGTTTCCTTTCAGTCCACTTGTCCACTGCAGTTGACCACGTTCCTGAAAACCTACGAAGTTGAACCAGTGGGGTAACACGGGCAAGATAACTACTGTACAGTATGGTAATATTTCCCCGAAGTTCTCTGATCGCTTGTTAAACCTGCAAGTCCACGCCATTACTATTTAAGTGCAGGGACATCAAAGGACAAAGGGGGGTTATTTCAGACAAATGCCTTTCATTGTATAATCCTGGTGCAGTCTATCATTAGTGTTGTTAAAGATGGTATACAACTATACAATTGTATGTTCGTTTTTTAAATAAAAACATTCATAAGCAAAACCCAGGTTATCAGTTTTATGTAGCACATAACCAATATTTATTTAGTGAGAATCTTAGAGAGGACGCCCGTTTAGATTTATCAGGTAAGACGTTTTCATGATTTTTCCCAGAAATCGGGTCACTGTTTTGTGTCACTGAAGTTATATGGCTCTAATATCAAAACGCCCTGATTGGTGGACCCATGTGTCCATAAAGCAGTGTCTAATCTAATGTAAAGCACATTCACTGCTTGAGTGTGGTAGTTTAACATCCATTATGACGTTTCAAAGTGCAGTGGGGGGAAAACAACTAATTGTTGGTGAACTGGAAAGTTTACACGCTTATTATATATAAATCTAAATTCAGAAGGATGCATTTGAAACCTCAAACCTGGCATTTTACTAATGTAAAAATAACTGTTTTCTTATGGCTAAACAGTCCCACAGACCACAGTGTAGAAATTGAAAATGGTAGTGGGCTAAATAGTGCCGTTAGTTTTAAAGTGCAATTGATTTTTTTTTCCACGTCCCATGCCCTTGAAAATGTATAAATTTGTTCAACTTCACCCACTATTTCAAACTACTGCTACCGAGTTCATCTGCTCACAATGAACTATTGTGGGGGAGTGAGTCCTGAGATTTCCAAATTTGGTTTTATCCAGAGCCTGATTTGCACTTTTTTTTTATTTGGATGGGTATCTGCCGTTTTGCTAGATGAGTCATTGATTTGTTGGGTGTAGCCAAATCTATTTACTTTAATTGCATGTTGGATTCTGTAGCAAAATTCACGGCTTTCAGTAGTTGCCCGTTACATTGGAAGTGCCACTGATGTACACAAGGGGTGTCTTGTATTGGAATGTGGGACTCTGCTTGCTTAAATTCCGGAAATACTGGGTGATGCCGAGTCATTTGCGATTGAACACTACTCCCTTGCTGGGTTTTGCTGCAGAACCGGATTGTCTACCCTAACAAAAGTGTTTAATTATTGGTACTACACCTTTAACTTTTAACTTTAAATTGAGTTTCTATGGTAAAAGTATATTTCAGTTAACATTGTAGGATTTCTTCTGTACATTATCCCATGGCATGTTCAGTGGGGAAAATGTCCTTGCATAATGCATGGGTGATTTTAAGTGACTTCTAACCTTATTTACCTGATTAACTTTTAGGCCTATGTGAAGCGGCATTGGATGCACTTATCTTGGAGGAATGTGTGGATTAATGAGGGCTCATATTTATTTCTGATTCCTACATTTAGGTATTCGTATTGTAATCCTGGTACCTCAAAATAGCTGTAGAAGTTTGTTTATACAGGGACCCTGTTCAGTACCTGGGGTCGGTTGTGATAGGACTCTGTGAAAGTTTCTCATTAGGATCACACCGTGCAACACTAGGTATGTAAATCACTCTCTGTCTTCACCTACATGTTGGTTACAAGCACCATATAGATCTTTTTGGGTGTTACAGTAAGTCTCTTAAAAGAATTATCAACATGGGGGACTGGGGTAAATGTTTTGAATTTCTTTAACCAATCAAGTCCTATTAAATTCTATGGCTTATGAAGTTTTGAACATAAAAGTAATTTTTTATAGAAGGGGGGGGAAAAAGCCACATTAATAGCACATAGAAGGCTTCCCTTGTTGGTTGAGCCACATTAGTGTACTGTACCCATTATGTCTAGTAACTTAAGTCCTGTCGTCTTTTTAGGTTGTAATGCAACCATATATTACAAGGATAAAGGCAAAACAAGGTTTGTTACTACTTTATTACATCAACTAAATAGGTTGCCCATTAGAAACCTATTTATTTTAGTAACTTCGTGGTCTAGTTTAATTGCTTGAGACTGTCCTTTTTACCCTGGGTTGGGTGATCCTTGCTTGTGCGTCATGTGCTTGATATTGAGAAGTGAGCTGCTGTCGTTGGACCCCTTTTTGCTGTCCTTGAAAGTTGTGTAATGGGTTTTTTCCTTTGTCTCCAGGGAGCCACAGGGGCTGGACCCCTGTCAAAAGTTTCAGGCGCTGAAAAGGAAGGCGTCTGGGGCTAGAAATGTCGTGCAAGTGAGCCATTGAAGAAAGGTTGGAGGGCGGGTGGAGGTAAGTGGCTTTTGGCACTTCTATTTTAACACCCTCTCAGTATAAAATTTTAATTGCTCGTTTTAAGCCCCTCCCCATGTTTTGGAGCAAGTCACTTTGAATATTCACGGATCCATCAGAACCAGAACCTGTGGTCTGACTAGCTCCCCTTTTGCATTTTAATTTGGCCAACTTATCCGAAGTGACTTAATTTACACTGATTTTTTTAAAACTTTTTTTTTTTTGCTGTAACAATGTGGGTGAATCACCTTGCTCTGTAGTATAACTGCAGTGTCGCAGCCCTCCAGAACAGTGAGTGCTGCTGCCCCTAATAAATCTGGGAGTCTTGTGAAAGTACCAGCACCAGGTGTCAGAAGAGCAGTTTTGTATCCTCTTGTGCTGTGAATTAGTGGCCCTGAGCACTAAATGCCATCCCTGGAGCCTTGGGTATGTTATTCAATTCATCAAGAGGTAGTTGGGATGAAACTGCACATGTGCTCATGAGCCCAGCAGAGAGGGGCTCCATAAGAATTGTCAGAGCAGTAACTTGTCATTTTAAGGTTGTGGTATTGCATACTACACCATTGGCTGTCCAGGGTGGTCTGAATGTTAATTATTCTTGCAAGGTATGAGAAATAAATTGTAACCAGGCTCATGTTCCTTACAGAACCTTCTTATCTTTCAGGAAAGGATGGTCTGTTGGTGAATATCATTCTCTGCTCTCCACTCTGCACGGCATCATAGACTTCGAAGAAGTCCGTCAGTCACTTGAGGAGACTGAAAACATCTTTTCTACATGATGTTTGGAACATTGGTTTTGTTCTGTTTTTTTTAAATAAAAGATTTTATTTCTACTTTGAAAAGTGTCCTGCTTAACTCATTGATTGTGACTGAAATGCAGATAACATTACACTGGAAATCGCATTTTTTCCTCTTAATGGATGTTCCTGTATGAATTTGACATGCCCAGGAATTAGTGGGCTATGTCGTGTGGGGATTGTAGTTTCTAAACAATCTCCGGGGGGGAGTACAAGGTTTTGGGGTCTTGTAAAGAGTACATGATGCACTGCTTCCGAGTAGATCTTTGAAGCAACATGCTGGTATAATTGTCAGGAATATGGTGCAATTGTGGGGATTTATTCAGGTGATCCAAATAATGCATATTAACAGATTTTGTTCTGCTAAACTACTTGTTTATGGCTTTTTTTTCCCTCATGATTACATAAAATCAGATGGGTCATCTTTCCATCTGAGATGGTATCCAAAGGGCTACTGCTCTCAAGGGGCAGGGTTGCAGAATTGCCTGGATTAGGCAGTGTTGTGGCCTTTTGAAAAGATTTCCTTAACATGCTTGCCGGTGGGGACCTGAAGCCACTCTAATGCAAATACATGCATTATAAATTGAAGGTCAGAGCAAGTTAAGGAAAGTAATGGTACATGTGGAAAGGGGAGTTAGAGGGGGGGCTCATCTTTTCTGCTAGAATTCCCTTTTTAAAAATACCTTTTCAAGCCCCTAATCTTTTTAAAAGTGGATTTCTGCAGGTTACACACATCTACAGCCAAATAATCTGAGCAGCCTTGAGCTTACAGGGGTTTTGGTTCTTCAACTACTCTAGTTAAGGTTTATGAGCTGAATCATAATTAAATCCTTTTACATATATGTACATAATCATTCATCTTCTCGAATGAGGATATTTTTGGACAATGGGAACAAGGATGAGAAGTTATTTGGGATCTCAAAGCTTGTTCCTGAACGCTATGGGGGTGCCACATCTACCTGTGTAGAATACTTCGTGTTCTGTGCTCGTGTAAACATCTTGCATACATATTGACTTTGGTACTAGCCCCCATTTCCCGTTGTTGAGGACGAATGAAAAGCCCGAGAAGATTTAGGCTTGGGACGAATGAATTTAGCTTTACTGCGCTCTGTATTCAACAACCGTGTGATTTCATCCTTAAAATTAAGGTGGTGAAAAGCGGGACTAATCTGACGAACAACATCCTGTTGCCTCTGGCTGCATTTTAAATCCTTGCACTGATCATTGTGATAGAGACGTCTGCCTAAAGCATTCCCTCTGAATCACTGTAATTAAATGTCGGAAAAGCACCTCTGAGTGGTTCTTAAAGAATATCAAATGTACGCAGTCAAAGGTTAATAATTATAATTTGTAATTTTGAAACTTTGATGGAATACATTTCTGCTTTAAATTTCGGCGGTTGCTTTTCTTATCCCTATGTTATAATCTCCTGGGGACCACCTCAAAAAACACGCTTGGTTAAAAAAAAAACAGTGGACTATTAAATGAAGAATTTCTACACGAACTGCAACACACCGTGAAACTCGATCCTAGAGGGGGGTGCTTTTATGCCGGCACTTCGGTAACACGTAAAACATAACTTGAAACGCAGGTTTCATCCTAATGAGTGGACGCTTAACCGTACAAAGCAAGGTTTCACCGCAGAAATCTTAGAAAGCAAGTCGTTCTGATTCATTTGAGCGATGCATCCCGCCTTACAGCGTCTCTAGAGCCACCCCCGAGCTCGATTCACATCCACACAAAGCCGCACCACGCCGAGAGAGCTGCTGTCCCATGAAAGGGCGTTTGGACTCGGCAACACGAGGGGGGTATTTATTGACGACCGGGGCACAGCCTGGGGAGGGGGAATTTTGGAGAGAGAAAAAAAAGTATTATCGATTGCAATGCGTGTGAAAGGCAAAAGCGACGTTTCCACCCCCACCCCCCTGAAGAGGTTATGAATGAAACGAACGCCGCGCGACGGATGTGGCACTACGGCCCGGCCACGCCCACACGGGTGTGACGTCAATGCAAAAACCGGCCTCCCGTCCTTTGAAAAAAGCAGGAAGACGGCGCTCTCGGCAGGCATTTTGAAATCGGCAGACAACCGGCAGCGGCGAAAATGAAGAACCAACTGTGCAAGCTCTTCGTCGGCGGCCTGAACGTGGAGACCACGGACGACGGCCTCCGCCAGCACTTCGAGCAGTACGGGCAGCTGACCGACTGCGTGGTGGTGCAGAACCAGCAGCTCAAGCGCTCCCGCTGCTTCGGCTTCGTCACCTACTCGACCCCCGAGGAGGCCGACGCCGCCATGGCGGCCAGGCCGCACGTCCTGGACGGCAACAACGTGGAGCTGAAGAGGGCCGTGGCGCGGGAGGACGCCGGCAAGCCCGAGGCCCTGGCCAAGGTGAAGAAGATCTTCATCGGGGGGCTGAAAGACGACGTGGAGGACGAGCACCTGTCCAGCTACTTCTCGCAGTTCGGCGCCATCGAGAAGGCCGAGGTGATCACCGACAAGCAGACCGGCAAGAAGCGGGGCTTCGGCTTTGTCTACTTCGAGGACAACGACTCGGCGGACAAGGCCGTGGTGCTGAAGTACCACACCATCAACGGGCACAAGGTGGAGGTGAAGAAGGCCCTGTCCAAGCAGGAGATGCAGTCGGC